GCCCAGGCCCAGAGTTCAAGCCCCTTGACTGACCAAAAAAAAAAAAAAAAGTCTCACAGACTTCTCATGCTAGCTTTGAACTGTGATCCTCAGATCTCAGCCTCCTGAGTAGCTAGGATTATAGGCATGAGCTACCAGCACTTGGCTAAAAGTACATTTCTTTTTGGACAATGTCATTCCTTCCCTGGCTCTCTCTAGTAGCTCTTTGGGACTCTACAGAAGGAAGCAGAGGTAGTTGGAATGTACAGGCTCTGAGTCCCTGGGACAGCTGGGAAGGGGTGGAGGGAGGTCAAGGCTTTTAGAATGCCATCCTAGAAACAATCAGATAACCAAGGACCTGTTGATTAAGAAAAAAAATCCAGCTGGGCGCCGGTGGCTCACGCCAGTAATCCTAGCTGCTCAGGAGGCTGAGATCTGAGGATCGAGGTTCAAAGTCAGCCTGGGCAGGAAAGTCCGTGAGACCCTTATCTCCAATAAACCACTAGAAAACTGGAAGTGTCACTGTGGCTCAAGCAGTAGAGTGCTCTCCTTGAGTTGAAGAGCGCAGGGATACTACCCAAGCCCAGAGTTCAAGCCCCACGACTGACCAAAAAAAAAAAAAAAATCTACTGAACTGATTTTGTTTTAGAAGGCCATTTAATTATCAACACCACGTTTATTTTGATTTAAAATTTTATTGCATGAAAAGGAAATAAAAATCTACACAAAACAAAAGTAAAACCTAAACAAACTCACTGACAGAAGATGATCAAGGTTCTAATTCCACTCCTCAAATCTTACATTTAAAAAATTCCAAAAGAAATAGAAATACAGGCTTCAAAAATATTTATCCAAAAAGTAAGGCATCCACTTTACAAAAGAAAAATAATAATTGAAGAACGGTAGGAGACAGGAGAAATGAGAAGAGGGAGATCAAAAAGCTGGTCCCTTAGTCCTCCACAGAGGCTCTCCCCAGCCTGCCTGAAGTCTACTCTGAAGGGCTGGAATTCTCACCAAGTAGACATGGCAGGAGCCATGTGGGAAGCTGGGAGACCTGACTCAGGCCATGAGGGGTCCCTTGGGTATTCCAGTTTCAGCAGATGGAATGGGGGGGGGGTGTTCCTGCTTGGGATAAAAGGATCCTGTCCTTAGCACAATAGGTATGGCTGGTAAGGCTGTACAGCCAGGGCAAACACCTTCCTTTGGAGCAGAGGGAAAAGGTCAAAAGCCTGCATAGCACAGAGAAAGCACTTTCCTAGGATCCCCAAAGTGGTGCCATTCTGCTACTGCCCTTCCATCCTGCCCCAAGATAGGACAGTGGTGAGGTCAGAAAATGAAGAAGACAACTTGAATTGGGGAGGGGAAGAGGAACTGATGCATGTGTGCGTGCGTGTGTGTGTGTGTGTGTGTGTGCTTATGTGTGTGTCTGTACCAGTCCTGGAGCTTTGAACTGGACCTGGCCACTGTCCCTGAGCTTTTCCTGCTCAAGGCCAGTGCTCTACCACTGGAGCCACAGCTCTACTTCAGGCTTTTTGGTGGTTAATTGGAGATGAGTCTCAGGGATTTTCTTGTTTGGGTTGGCTTTGAACCATGATCCTCATATCTCAGCCTCCAGAGTAGTTAGGATCAAAGCCATGAGCCACCAGTGCCCATCCAGCAAGGAACTGACTTTTACAAAACATGTTCTCTACCCAGTCCCCCCAGCTTGTGGAATGGGCAGCTGTGGGGAGTGGGAAATAGCCCTTCCTCCCAGGGAAGGTATTTTAACACCAGTCCCTCCTGAGGGGTAGAAATAAGTCAGATAATTTTAGGCCCAGTTCTTGAATGGGAAGTGACTCAAAGCTGTTTGGCTCCTATTTGGTTTCAGGCCTGAAGGGCTTGCGGATCCTTCACACCTGGTCCCTGAGCCAAGGCCCAGAGGACGTGGAGGGCATGGTAAGGGGAACCAGCAGTACTGGCTTGGTGCAGCTGTGTTGTATTCCTTAGGGGACAGGGAGGAGCATCTGAGAGGTTTGGTCTTTTGGAGAGAGTCATCTTCTATACTGCGAATAAAAAGTCTTTCTGGCTTCAGAGAGCATTGGCACCATGTTCAGAGCAGAATGCAGGAGGAGGCAGAGGCAGTGCTGGGTTCCTGCAATCTGAGCCTTTCCCCAGGTGTTCTAGCTTAGAGCTGAGGGAGGGGACAGTCTTCCTGCTCTTGGTCCACAGGTCAGTGGGGTGGAGGGATCCTGAAAGGAATCTTTCTGGGACAGGAAGGCCAGGTTGGATAGGAAGAGGAGTGGTGGGAAATAGAGAGTAGAAGGAAGCAGCCCCTCTGACTTTTGGGTCTCTGGTGAACAGACAGGGGTTTAGGTCTCTCCAAGCTGATCTTCATCTGTGTCTGTCTTCACCAACCAACTCACTGTGGCCACTTGTCTCAGAACACAGGCTTTCCTGGGGCTCAGGAATGGGGAGGGAAGGCAGTAGTGAATTCAGGTATAAGAGGAACCTGAGGCTGTGGGCCCAGGAGGCAGAGCCCTCAAGGGCACCCTTGGCATCTCCACTCTCCTTTAACATTTGGAGTATGGGCAGCCCTTGTATGGGGTCTCGGACATGTGCCCTCGGGTGAGAGGCTGGTTCTTTGGGTACAAATGTCAGTCTATTATTTTTCACCACTCACACCTAAGACCTGTTCCTGCCTGGTAGAGAAGTAGAGGTGGTGTGTGCGCGTGGTGTGTGTGTGTGCGCATGGTGTGTGTGTGTGTGTGTTGGATACCCAGGCAAGGAAACAGGGCAGAAAAGGAGGATAAAGGAGGAGTAGCCAGGTGAGCAAGTGAGAGCATGGCGGTTCTCAGGGCTGGGGATGCTCCATGGAGTCCTGGTCCTTGGTGGGAGTGGGTTGGTACATGGGTTGCTGTTGCTGCTGGTCCTCCTCCATGTCCTCACTTGTCCCATCTAGCCCCGAGTCCCCCTCCATCTGGGGATAGACGACCACACACAGCTTCTGGCTCACCAGGGTTAGCAACTCTGTGGAAGGGGAGCAGACAGAAACGAAGTCAGTGCTGGCTGTCCCATCGACCCTACCAGCCAGCTCATGGCACTAGCCAGCTAGCTATTCCTGTTCAGGTTTTACTGTAGTGGAGCAGCCAATGGCTTTTGGAGACTCACTCTTCAGGGACAGCTATTTTGTCAGACTCTTACATGTTCTGTCTGCTGTTGCTCGCTCACTGAGGCCCCAGCCTTCACTGAGGGCCCAGCCTTCCACCTTCCTGGTACTCACTGAACCCAGAGTCTCTGCTAGCCTCTCTTCAGCACGGGACAAGTCCTGCAGTACAGCTGGCAGGCTGTCTATTCTTACCCAGCTAAGGTCTGTGTGAGAACATCAGCAGTTCTCTTCTCTCCAGGGGTATTGGAAAAGCATCTGCCACTCTGGCTCCAACCCCTTCTTGAGAGCCCTGTGGACTCAGGTGAAGGTGAACCTTTTTTTTTTTTTTTTTTGTTGGTCATGGGGTTTGAACTCTGGGCCTGGGCGCTGCCCCTGCACTCTTCAGCTCAAGGCAAG